AAAATGACACATGACCATTGCCGGTCGGTATTTCTCTTTTGTACTTGCCCATCTCCATACCTGCACCTAATAATAATACGGGAGTGCACCACGAGTCCGCATTTGCCAAGTTATAATCTCGAAATTGCGGTTTTAATATTACTGCAAAGCGATGCGTTACTCCTCTTGACTGACATGATTATTGCATGCTCTTGGAGCCTTAATTAACGATTAAATTTTACAATGCAATTAAGAAGCATCCATTCAAGACATTCTCATTTAATAGCGATATATCCTGCGCAGGCTTCAGCGGCTACTGTCCAATAAGCTCACTGGGGTTCTCCAGCCCTTAAAGCTTTTGTACGATGCTGACTGTTCTGTTTTAGAAATTTAACCCAACCTCGACAACTTTTGACAAGACTTATTAAACGCAGAAAGTCTGTCCCGATGTATATCTTCTTCAGACATGATTGCATTCAAGATATAAATACTAAAAGCTATAGCAAGAGTTTTAGTCAAATCCTTTTGTATTTAATATTATTTCATTCTGTCTATTAACTTGAAAAGTTACTGTAGATCTTGACAGCACGACACAATTATTGAAAGGTTAAATGTTCTTGATCGTGATATGACAATTAAATCTATTTTATTCACCGTAGTTCTAAATATAAAGCAAACTCTCTGAAACGTCTGTAACGAAAGAATGCCGCAAGCGGCGATCGATACAGCGGTACGTTTTGATTACGCTGCCGAAAGCTGACAGGCCGATCGTATGTCATACCACTGACAAGACAACTCAACAAAAGCAACTTACTAGAAGCAATCGGATATCCCGAGATAAAAATGTTAAGTCTCTAAGAGTGTCTGAAAGCGAGACTTGCGTCTCCATCTCTCATCGAGTCTCTCTGGTGTCGCTGAGAGAGACTATCGAAAGACTGTCAAAAAAACTGTGTGGTGTCTCTGAAAGAGAGACTCGAGTCGCTCATAAAGAGATCCTCATTTCGTATCCAGTCTCTGAACGAGAGACCCGAATCTCTCAATAAGTGGTGTCTCGATAGATAGATAGACATGGCTAAAATTTTCTATGTTCAACATATTTCAGAGATCTGAGTCTTTCTACGAGAGACTCGAGTCTCTCAATTTTTCAGTTTTATTGATTCAGTCTCTCTATGAGAGACTCGAATCTCTGAATTAACAATTTTATCGTTCGAGTCTCTCATACAGAGACTGTGAGAGATCCATAAAAACACCTAGGCAATAACTGAGAGACTGTGAAAAACTGTGAGAGACGCTTAAAGACTCTGAGAGACTGAAAATTTTTGTCTAGGGATAAACCAATGACTTTTGGGTAATAAGTACCTACCGAACAAGCATAATACATAAATATTTGCTACGTTAGGTATTGTAGGTATCTACCTCCTACATTGTTTTTGAATCGTGTTTCACACCCTCACGTCGTAATCGATTGAAAATCATTGTTCCTGCATGCGATATAATATAAAGTCCTGACGCGCTCCGTCAAATGGACTATTGTTTGCGAGTGTATGCCTTTATATATACACAGATAAAGGAACTCCCGAGTGAGATAAACGGGTCAGCGGGCGCACTATTATGTTCCCGATCAAAAAGAGAACAATCGTCCACCAAAAGATTTCATTAAAATGCATACATTAGAAGTAAAACGACTCGCTATTCGCCCACTGCAATAAGAAATGGAAGTACGTTCCCCTTTATCAATATCCATTTCGTACATCAAAGACTTCCAGAGAAAAACAAGGAGATAGAAAGAGAGAAGAGCCAGCGAGGTGGATATTGTTTTATATATCCGCATGTATGTAAAATGTATGTGTATATGTATAAAGAGAGGTGCTCATCAAACTGGTGACCGGAAACTACAAATGTGCATATTGAAATCCGCTATATCGGCGCGTTGTTCTGCATGGGACTCGGCAGATTTTACGGCGTTATAAACTTTTTATTGCAGCATAAAATTGAGTCAAGAGATAGCGCGTCACTTCTTTCCTCTGATGACGACTACGACGACGATATTGCGCTTCAATAGTTGAACTGTTAATAATAACGTTTGCCGCTCCCTCTTGTTCTTTTTGGGCAAATATTGCTCTACTGTAATTACTTCCGGAGTAAATTGTACAATACCAACGTAAAACTACTACCTACCTACCTAATAATGCGCAATCCGAGCAAAAATAAACGGGAAAATTTGCTAGCGCCCCACTCTCTTTCTAAATTCAACGTTCACGTTAATGAAATTTAAAAATGAGACGCTGCACTATATATAATTCAATTGCAGATAATCAATAGGTTAATTAATAGTTCTAGAAAACTCGAAACAATATATTCTACGCTAAGGGATCACGTACTTTACCCAAAATATTTTGAAAACGATAAAGATTCTAAAGCATTAAAGGCACCTGTAAGAATAAAATAATAGAATAGTATGTAGTATTTTATGCATAATATTAGTCTAGATCATTTGTAGATCTTCTATACCTAATAACTAATTATAATTTTTGATATAGAATTGCTATAATAAATGCTTAATAAGAAAAGTGCGCAAACTGTAATGCCCATAGCCACCAATCATACGACAACAATTGAAAAGATATAATGGCCGCCATAAGTAACAAAGCTCCAACAATTAAAAAGTATAATGGCCGCCACTAGCAACAATGCGTCAACAATTAAAAAGCATAATGGCCGACAACCGCAACAATACGCCAACGATTAAAAAGTATAATGGCCGCCACTAACAACAATGCGTCAACAATTAAAAAGCATAATGGCCGCCACTAGCAACAATGCGTCAACAATTAAAAAGCATAATGGCCGACAACCGCAACAATACGCCAACGATTAAAAAGTATAATGGCCGCCACTAACAACAATGCGTCAACAATTAAAAAGCATAATGGCCGCCACTAGCAACAATGCGTCAACAATTAAAAAGCGTAATGGCCGACAACCGCAATAATTGAAAAAGTAAAATGGCCGACAACAGCAATAATAACACAACACTGTAGGATATAGGCAACTTAATCAGTTATAATTATTGATATAATTGTAATATTATAACTATTGGGCAAAATAAAGCACTAGAATAAAAAAAATCATTGAAGATCAGAACATTGAAAGATTTACTTAGCACAGCTTTTAAATATTAAAATTCATTACTCCATTAACCCCTGGCTCAAAAACAAAGCCAATTTCGTTCCTAAATAAAAGAATTTAAGTAGTGGATATCTAAATTCCGGAATCAAATTACTCGATAGGTACTAGTACTAGGATAAAAACTTTTAATGAACGACCTCGTCCTTAATAACAGAGTGTTGTAGTTTTAACCCTAAGTCAGTTTTATTACGAAATCAAGACTCCTTTTTAAAGCAGTGCCACGCCAGTAACAAAAAAAAATGCCGGAATAGAAAACGGAATTCGGCATTACGTTAAGATTTTAACATCAAAGTAGCCGTAAAAGAAAATTGAATAATTTCATTCGCATTGGCGTGTCAAAATTACCGTAAAGAGGAAGAGAAGAACGAAAAGAAAAAATAAATGGAAAAGTAACACACCGAAAGCTCTAAAAGATTTTGATGTAACCAAATTTTTCGGGTTAGTTGTTTTTCGTTTACAAAATGGACGATTCAAAGACGAAAATCTTTTTTATTCAATTTAAATTCTTAGAGTTAAACTGCTACCATATTGATAGTATGATACTAAGTTTCCATTAGCTGTAATAAGGCGGATTATAACTAATGTAATACGGACATAATACGTATTGTATAACGGACATGTAAATCTACAAATTAATAATCCATTCTGCAACACATTAGGATTCATATGCAACAAATTCATTAATGAATATTGATCTATTTGTGTGTACGTATTAGTGCGATTGAAGGGCTAGTAGGGAATAAATAAATTATTATTACTCAATATATTACGTTTGTCTCACATCAGTGAAGTTCGTCCAACTTACGAAAATATAAAGACATAACTTATGGAAATAAAAATAAATCAGGAATTTAAAGAATTCCATGTGTCTACCTTACTCTATCATCATGTTTTATGAAGGCAACACCTGAAGAAATTTAAATATAAGAATTAACAAAATAAAAATCCTTTCTTCATAATAAAGCAGGTTCCAGTATGCTATACAGTTAAATATCAACATAAAGGTTGATTTTCACTAAAAGTTAAACGTCGGCAGGCAATTGTCCGTGAAACATCCGTTAGTTTTACCTTGTATTCACATTACACAACACCTCACCGTCAGCTTGTCAGCAAATTTCATCATGTCTTCAGCATTTCAGAATGTCTAAATATCAATTTAATGATTTCGCTTAATAACGCCTTTCTATGCTAGTTACTCCTCATCATCATAAGGTCGTCAGTCCTAAGACTGCTTGGACGCGCACCTCCACTTTTTCCTATCCTGAGCTAATCTTCGCATTTCCCTAAAACTAGAACATACCACATCCTTAACTATTTGCGAACAGTAACCTAATCTACCCCTCCTTACTCCCGTTCTTGCCTCTTATATGTCTCTGACCAGACCTTCATGCCTGAGAACGTGTCCTACCAACCCATTTCGCCTTTTTCTCAGTCCTCTGTTCTCCTATTCTTTCTAATACCTCTTCATTTCTGACCTTTTCTACACCTTAAACAATCTTTTTCGAATTTCTAAATTAACCGTTCGCGAGCATAGAAATGACTTATTTTTATTGAGGGCGACTCGACCTTGCTCTATCCTCTGCTCTATATCCCTATTACTCCTTCCGTCCTGATTTATCTGACTTCATAGATACCTAAAATCAGCCACTAGTTGCTAATGAACTAAAAGTATTCTCGTTGGTCATTATCAACAACTATACGTCAAAGTATTCTGTCCTGCGACCTCTGACGGGCGGCTGCCTGCCGTCGTCTACATAATATTGTGAATCAAGCTTTAGAAAGTAATTATTTTTAAATTGTTCATAAAAGCAATGTTTTCAAAATGTACTTACACGAACCATCGCAGTAGATGTTTGGATCTCTAGCTGACATCAACTCAATGATTAGTTGATAAACCTAAAACAAAAACTGTAGTCAATATAAGTACAGTCTGTGTCCACCTTGGAGGTCCATTCTAAATATTGATATAACAATTTTTGAAATCGAATAAGTATGTAGTTTCGAATATTGCATTACAAAGTTTATCTCTTTACAATATTAGTACAGATAAATAATATTTTTAAATTTTAATGGAAAATATGACTACTACTGCTACTACTCCCAGGAGAACTCTTATTATCGTTCCTCTGTTTCTCTGGTATTTTGTGAAAAGAAAAGCTGGGATTTTTCGAAACAATGTTAAAAAGACGGTCACAATAAATAATCACCTTTCGTGTGTCCTAACTCTTCATACACGCAACGAACGCGACAGTTAGTTTCAATTTACGATAACTCGGCCCATCAGGTAATCTTAATTTACACGCCACGCACAGAAAAAAGTTAATTTCATTTTCGAGAGTGTTTTGGCTCTTCACACGTCTCGACTGCACGTTTTTAATAAGTGACATCTTCTTTCCAGCTGTTTTATTTTTGTTCGCGTGCACTTTCGCAGAGCGCTTTTAATCGCGTGAGGACGAAAGAAAATGAAAAGTACCTACACAATATTTTGTTGCTACTCATACCTAGGCACAACGCATATGTAGATAACAAAATTACTTAGCCAAAAAAAAAAAACAATGTACAAAAACTTCTATATTCTATCGAAACTGTAAGACGAGAATCGCGATTTCAAACTCCCAGTTTGAAGTCGATATCTTTATTAGAAAAAGGCCTTGTTAAACATTATTAAATCCCACAGTATGTAGCAAATTACGGTAATTGTCTAAATGATGGGATGATCGCTCAAACGGGGATTTTGAAGGTGGAGGGTGTAGGAAGGGATCCAAGGACTTCACCCCCATTGATAAAAAGCAAGAGAGATTAAAAGAACAACATGAAAAAAGAGGTGAATGCTGAGGGTTAGAGGATAGAGGCACAGGGGAGCATGCAAAAAATAATATTCTTTTAATTTAGTATAATACAGATAAAATCATTACTTTGTGTCTATGGTAAGGGTTAACTAAGACGCATGGATGATAATAAATAAGACCACAAAATTTTCATTTTTATAGCCTCCACTTTTACGCCTCCAGTTCACCCCCACTCCTTTTATCATAGGGGATGCGGTCTGAAGAAAGAAATAATAAATGTGAAGTTGTTGGAAAGTCAATGGCAAACATGTGTGAAATGTTTGTCTAAGTATTTCACTGTGGATTTTATCTGTTGCCAATTCGAGAAGGCAACCAGTCAGATTATTGTCAAGAGAAGTTCCTAAACTTTGATATTCGGTGGTAAGGGACTGTTGGAGTTTACTTTTTTTTCATCATCATAAGGTCATCAGTCCTAAGACTGGTTGGACACGTACCTCTACTCTTTCCTATCCTGAGCTAAACTTCGTATTTCCCTAAAACTAGAACATCCCACATCCTTAACTATTTGCGAACAGTTATCTAATCTAGGTCTACCTCTACCCCTCCTAACTCCTGTTGCTGCCTCTAATATGTCTCTGACTAGACCTTCATGCCTGAGAAGGTGTCCTACCAACCTATCTCTTTCCAATACCTCTTCATTTCTAACCTTTTCTACCCACGATATCCTCATCATCCTCACTTTTTTTAGCGATGTTTATTTATCCCACGACTTCATCACAAAATCGTTACTTTTAGCCTCCACTTTCACGCCTCCATCTTTTATTATAGAAGTTGAAATCCCGAAGACAGAATTAATAAAGGTGAAGTTGTTGCAAAGCCAATGGCAAACATGTGTAGGATGTTGGTCTCTGTATTTCACTATAGATTTTATCTGTTGCCAATTCGAGATGACAACCAGTGAAGTTATTGTCAAGAGAAGTTCCTAAACTTTGATATTTGGTGGTAAGGGACTGTTGGAGTTTACTTTTTTTTTCAGCGTTGTTTATTTATTCCAACGACTTCATTTCTGATACCGTTCCTGTTCTGCTTACTGATTCGACTCGTTGTTTCCTAGTGTCGTAGCAGCAGCGGCACACTGCACGAAAACGTACTAAAGAGAATTACCTTAATGTGCCTGTCACCCTCAGGACTGGTAGACATCTGCTCAGAATTTTAAAGTAACGGTTAATTCCAGGAAGTGAATCACAAGCACAAAAACTTTACCGCTACATAATTTTTAATTTTTGTCTAGTCCGTATCTTTCCATTTCTTTTTTTTCTTTTCCCATCGGACGTTAAGAGAAATTAAGACAATTAAATTAAATTAGTGTCTGCTTAACTGTTTTTCTTCACAAAATCGGTTTGAACTGCGAACCTGCTTAATAAGTAAAGAACACACCAAGAGAAATCAATGAGACCAGTAAGATCCAAAAACCTCTGTTGGATCTGTTAAAATCATGTATAAATAATTTGCCCTTCCAGGTCCTGGGACCCCTGAAGAACACGATTATCCAATTGGTGAATAATGTGCTGAAGTTCCTTAAACTTTCTAAATCTAAATATCCAATTAACAAGTGAACTACCTTGTATAATTAATCTTATTAACCAGATATGCGAACCTCTTATAATCCTTAGGGCTCAAGTTGTAATTGACCTGATTAAGGTCCTAAAAATATCTTAAGCAAGCAATGTCAATGCCAAAGAAGTTTATAACTTAATTGAAGCCCTAAAAATTTCTTAAATAAAATTTGTAATAGATTTTCAACCTAATTAATGATCAATATTATGGTTGGAATCTCCAGGACAGACAACAAGGACGTAAAACCCTTCTATTTTCTTAAGATTAGATTGTAAGATTGTCTTATGCCATCATCATAAGGTCGTCAGTCCTAAGACTGGTAGGACACGTACCTCCACTCTTTCCTATCCTGAGCTAATCTTCGCATTTCCCTAAAACTAGAACATCCCACATCCTTAACTATTTGCGAACAGTAATCTAATCTGGGTCTACCTCTACCCCTCTTAACTTCCGTTTCTGCCTCTAATATGTCTCTGATTAGACCTTCATGCCTGAGAAGGTGTCCTACTAACCTATCCCCCCTATTTCTTATTGACTTATACAGAGTCCTCTGTTCTGGTATTCTTTCTAATACTTCTTCATTTTTAACCGTGTCTATCCACGGTATCCTCATCATTTGCCAGTAACACTACATTTCGAACGCTTCTAACCTTTTCTTTTCCGCCGCGCCCACCGTCCATGTTTCGCACCCGTATAGCACCGAGCTCCAAATATACACCTCTAACAATCTTTATCGAATTTCTCTATTGATTGTTCGAAAGCATAAAAGTAACTTCTTTTTATTGAAAGCGACTCGACCCTGCGCTATCCTCTGTTTTGTATTTTTCCGTCCTGACTTATATTACATCCTAAATACCGAAAATCGGCGACTTCTTCTAATTCTTCGTCTCCTATCTTTATATTCACTCTTTCCCTACTTGTTCTTCCTTTGCATACCAGTTTTTTTGTTTTACTTTTATTTATTTTCCCCCAGTACTGTTTCATCAATACCGCCTCGTTAAATAAATTGTAGGAATACCCAAAAAACAGATTGAAATCAGAATTTTGTCTTGAGTTAATGAATTACCATATCGTTATATTTCAAATTTTTTACTTACCAAGCGGCATACCAAATTAATAAAATAATAATTTTGAAATTATTTTTTTAACTTGTATGTCATGAATCGCATTGAATTATCCCCATATTCGCAATGGTATATTAATACAGGTCCTTTATCCATTTTATGTCCCGTTTTCAGAAATAAGTACTTCAGAGGTTCATCCCGACGAACCGATTCAGCAGTCGTATATTCGACCGTCGCCTTTATCTAAATTTTCGAACTAACCGACAATGGTCATCCGTTAAGAAGTTCTAATGTCGCATAATTCGCAACTAATACCAACAAGATTCGTCAGAGGCTGCGAACACGCTGCGACCTACGAAAATAATCCTTCTAAACGCACCACCACCATCATCATCATCATCACACCGACACCTTCGTTCTCGTTACAAATATTTGGGTCTTCTAACGTAATTAGTGGCCACCTTAATACCAATTGTCCCTTAATTACTGTGTCATCGTATTCATAGCGATCCCTATTATCTTCGTTCGGCTCCTAACGCGCAATTAAGTACAAAAGCGCACTATTAATGGCGTTCTCATCCTATTACGTACCAAATTGAACTTCCGCTTTCACCACCGAGTCCTGAATGTAGTGCGGCCCCAGGAGGGGACAAGAGGGAATATCGTGGTGCATTCTCCGACGACGTGGTTCACACCGACGTCGGCGATTTCACCGATAACGCCTCGAAAAATAAAAGGAATAGACTTTTCTCATCTCCACTGCAGTCAAACCTGATTAATATTTCATAGAATTCGGTCTAAGAGTCTGAGTATTCATAATAATGCTATAAAAGTTCTTAGTCAGTCATTTATAGAAATTACCAGACGTGTAGGATGATTTCGGAATTATTTGTTAACATCAGCACGCCAGTTTTCTATTAATTTGGTTTACGCCTCTCGCATCGTATTAGGTGCAGATTGACCAATTTAGAATAAGGAAGGCAGAATGTACTAGAATGTTTCCAGCGTTGTTCTAAGCTAGAATGTTCTCGAATCTCAAGGAGTGCCCTAAAGTAGAATGTTCTAAAATCTGGAGTGAACCGGAGGAATTGACAATACTCTAGAATTTCTAGGATTCTCGTCAAGTGGAATGTTCTACAGTCTAGATTAGAGTGAACTGAAAAAATAGAGTAAGTATGTTGACGAATGTCCAGAATTGTTCTCTAGTAGAATGTTCTAGACCCTAGTCTCCACAGTGAACCGAAAGAATCGAGAATCTTCTGGAGTGCCTGCGATTGTTCTGAAGCAGAATGTTCTACAATCTATATCATAGAATGAACCGGAAAAATCGAGAATGTTGCCGAATGCCTAGGATTGATGTGTTCAACTATGATGTTATACAATCTAAACTCTAGTCCAGAGTGAATCGGAAGAATCGAGGATGTTCTAGAATGTCTAC